ATGTTTTTGCTTAACTGTGAAGTACATTCATATAACGCAAGAAGTAAGAATTCCTTCCGTTAGCCCTACTGCAGGACAAATGTAAGGAAATTTTCACTTCGTTTTCAAGGGCCCAAAATATTTAATTCCCTTAGCTCTGAAATTCAGAATGCCTCTAGTACTGCTTTGTTCAAACGTGGGATTGTGATGTTTTAGGGTGCAAAAATGCCGGCGGAAAATCCCTCTGGAGCGTGCTCTAACCTCAAACCGCAAATCTGACGGCAAAGCACTAGTCACGTGATTTCTTGACGTTTACGGTTTGCGGGAACTACCGAAAAACCTCGATCTATAAGGTCTCTATTAACTTTCCACTTGTTTCCATTGTACTAATACCCATCTTCAGCTGGCCACGAAAAATCTTACTACGAGGCTGCCTATATGGCACGCCCAGTTATAAATTACCTTCCGTCGGGTCGACCTGCACCGATTCCAAACCAGGTCTTTGATTGGCTGGGAAAACGATAGGGCTGGTGACGTAACAATGCCTCTATCTCTGAATAGCGCAGACGAAATACGAGGTTTAGAAAGGTACTGCTGGCGAATAGTTTCAGTCGAAAAATGAACGCTGTTGGTTTATTAACTCAGAAAGCGTTGCGTGTTTTCATGAAGCATCTTTGCAGCTTCTGTTTAAAGTCTCCCCAGATCAAATGTTCTGATTCTCCTACTAAAAATACTTGAAAAGTACAAATGTATAACTCGTATATGTACCCTCGGCTAGGAACAACCTTTTCCGTTTAGAAAGAGCCATTTAGCTGCAATTGCTCTTAATCGATCGACTATTAGAGGCTCTTTGATTTCGAAACAATGTCGCAAGTGGACTGGTCTTCTGTGAGGTTAAATAAGGCATTCGACCTTACTGAATCCGAGATTTACTGTTAGCCAAGCGGGAGAAGCGAGAGTGTAAGGTGAAAAAAAGGCAAACAAATATGTTTCCTGGAAGTTGCAATGACCCAATGACGTAATTCAAAAGATTGAAAAAGACTGAACTATACCCACACCACCAGAATGCAAACCAACAATAGTTTCGGCAACTCCAAGAAACATCCAAACATCAGCGGCGGAGTGTGCAAGGTAAGTTTTTCCTTCCCCAAGGCTCCTATTCTTTTTGCTATTATGGTTCGGAGTTTTCTCGTAGACAAACGATTCAGTTAGCAAATACAATTCCATGACCTTTCAAGGGCTCTATCCTCCGCAGAAGCTCAAAGGGGCATGGCAAGGCGAGAGTGAGTGCGGGCGCAAAATGTTTGGTAAGAATCTTTCGGTTTTTGCGCCTGCACTCACTTTGCGCAGCGGAACGTATGAGAGAGTTCCAAGGGACCACGAGAAAAGAAGACTTTTGCTCCAGTCTGTAAATGTCAGCAGCCCATCATCATCGTCATAGGCTCCTGTAAAAGTCCTTTATTGTAAAGCTCGCTTAACCCTTAAAGTCCCACTGGTGACCAACATCAATTTTCTCCTAACAATATCCATAGATTGTCCAGAGATTAGGTTATAAGAATTAATAAATTGATCACCTAAGAGAAAATGCTTTGATCTTTTATCAATTTCTCCCAACTGATTCTTTAAGGAAATGTATAGGGATCAGTTTGGAGAATTTGTATGTGGATATTGGGGCTTAAAGGGTTAACTCAACTCTAAGAACTCATGAGGTCGACTTGTAGCAAGTTTAACCATTGAGTAAACGAATGAAAACTTAGAACGGGCAAAAACGATCCAACGATTTGGTAATTTACCCTCTAACAAACCTTAGCTAACTATATCTAAGAGATTATTATTTGTTGTTTTAAAATAATTTATTTGATTTTTGTTTGGTTCATTAACTTTGTACAACTACTTCTAATACACAATGGTACCCTTAAAATGAAGACCAGTGAATTAAATGAACGAGGTAAATGTGTAAATGACACCACAAGAGATGACTGCATATTTGGTAACCATTTGTGCCTGAGCGCACCCTTACAACTGCTGAGAGAGCATGCCACCATTTCCCAAAATATCCTCGTTAATTATTTCATAACTATCTGAATGTACTATATCGTCCACTCGAAAACGAAACGAGAGCGACGGTTCCGGGTTCAGTAAATCCTTCCAAGAATTCCGAGATGAGCATCAGATGATTTGTTCACTTCTCATTTAAAAAACTTACAAGATGTACTGCTAACTTCCACGCGGAAAGCACACTACCAGTCACAAGAGAGGGTCCCCAATAGGGTTCTTCAATCCCGTAATCCCGACCCGAAATTTCGTGCAATCCCGAAATCCCGAGGGTATTATTTACCATCTTTGCCCTTTATTTAACCTTAGTTTGCACTTTTTTTGCACCAAATTTGCACTGAGTAAATTTGTTCATGCGACGTTTTATGGAGGACGTGAACACACAAAACAGAAGAGTAATTTCTCCCTTCTAACTTGGATACAGTCCTTAAGAGTTTACCTCCAGGAAACTGATTTGCCTAAATAAATTGACAAACTAAGGGAGGTCAAACAAAAGAGATTAAGTACAAATTCCTTTTTAATGACGGTTTTACTACTGTCGCCGTCGTGACACCCTGCCAGCAGAGCCTCCTTCTGACTACTTCTTGCAAGAGGAGGAGTAAAGGTGGTGTTACACGAGACGATTCAGACAACGATTTTTAGCGCAACACAGCGTTGCTATGTTAGAACAAAGTTGTAACTATTCGAAACGATGTCGTAACAATGTTGCAACGCTGTGTTGCGCTAAAAATCGTTGTCTGAGTCGTCTCGAGTAACATCACCTTTACTCCTCCTCTTGCAAGAAGAAGTCAAAAAGAGGCTCTGGTGGCAGGGTGTCACGACGGCGACAGTCGTAAAACCGTCACTAAAACATAGAATTGTTATAAATGAAAAGTACATGTTTGTTAAATTCTTGCAATAGTACTTCACAGTTTATATCATAATGTTCCGTTGTTCTTGTGTTTTTGTTGTTGTTGTTGTTGTTGTTGTTGTTTTTTTTTTTACCAAAGAAAGAACTTCCTTTTTCTTCTGTGGGTGAACCTCTGCATGATCACGGGGATATATTTGCATGACCCTCCCCCATTTAAAGGCCCATTTTTCATGACCCCTCCCTTTTCTGAGTCTCAGAAAGTTGTGACCCTCCCTCTGTTTCCACCCCCCTACCCCCTCCCCCCACCTCCCTGCTTATTTCTGACAAGTCCCTAATTCAACTTTAAATTCAAATTTCTCGCTTTTCGCTGCATTGACCAATCAGAGCATTCAGATTTAATTTGATTAGAAAAATTAGCGCCTGAAAAATAACTGACGCTTTTGCCGCGGGCTATTGTTTTTCTGCCTGCTTCTTAGCTGGACCCCCGGACTGGACCATTACTTAAATCAAAAAGTATTTCGCAAATAAAATCATCTGTTGCTCTTGATAATTATCTTAAAAGGTTAAATTACAACTCACAAATTGCTATTGAGAATTATCTTTTAGTATATGGCTGTTTAGTAGGTTTTAGCTTTTTATATTTTATGTTTTTCAGTACTAAGTTTTTTGTATATTTATTGAGTTGTTTTAAAAAATTGAATAATATCATAACATAGCTGTAATGATTATAGATTTTATTTATACACGTTCGTATTTTGAACGAGTTTTCTAGCTCCTCGATGTAAAATGTCAAAATAAATGATTGATTGATTGATTGATCTTTAAAAAGATTAAATTACAACTCTCAGAAATTTTAAAGGTTGCATGGTCTCGATTCCTTCATCCTGATCTTTCATCTTCCAATTTAAATTGGTTCCACTACAGTCGACTCCCGTTACTGCGGACACCCTCGGGGGGAAGATTTAGTGTCCGTAAGAGCGAGAAGCCTTAATAGCGGGGTACGAGAGAAAAAAAAATTGTTTTCTCTTTAAACTTGTGAAATAATATCAGTAAAAGTCCCAGAAGCATTGTAGTTTCGACAATTCTTTACTTCTTTTAACTATGGACCATAAAAGATTAAAGATATGAAGATTGTAAATAGATCTAAATATGCTGTATTATCACTTCCAAGCTCCTGAATCGCAAGGGATATATAAGACAGGGCTTAAAAAACCAAACGGAAACTCCTCCAGTAACGTAAATGGCTAAAATGTTAACTTGCTGTCAAATATAACGTTTTTTATTGTTCTTGGCAGCTGTTTTATCGCGGAAATGCTGCACAGAATACTCATAACAGAAACCTGTCTGACGACTTTTACGGTAGAGTGTTAAAATAACGCAAAATGTTTGCAAGCTCTGATGGCAATGTCTTTTCTCCCTAAAATGCTGTACAGCAGTCAATTGTTTACTCTTTAACAAAGAAGCGGTCGATAGTACTTTGTGTCATTTTTTCCTTTACTGTAACGTCGCTTTATTCTTTCTGTTATGCGAGTCACGATTTTTGACGAAGTACAGTCAACTGTCTCTGAAACGGACACCTTTGGGACCGGCACTAGCTGTCCGTCTTAGATAGATGTCCGTCTTATAGAGAGTCAAATAGGGGGACTAAAGAAAGGCAGGGACCAACTCTAGGTGTCCGTTTTACAGAGGTGTCCGTCTTATAGAGGTGTCCGTTAAGAGAGAGTCGACTGTACTCAAGTGTCCGCTATAGCGAGAGAAAAAACAAGTAAAATGTCGCGCTTGGGGGCAGGAAAGTGTCCGTAATAGCGACAGTCCGTAATTGCACCTAGCTAGCAGACTTCCAGTAAAGAAGTTAAGACGTCTGTTACACAAAAGGAGAAACGTAAGGGTATTTGTTGGAAGGATATACGCAAAAATATCAGTTTTTACTATCCCTCCGCATTCACAATTAATCCACAACCACGACGCCGAAGTGTATGCTCTCATAGCGTCTTGTTTGTTCTACATCACGCAATGGTCGGCAGCCCAGCAGTTAAATTCACTTTTCCAGCGAGTCCAGTCTATCTCTGTTTTGAGCTTTGCCACAGGCAGCCCAATAAACAAACATTCAACGTACCCGTATGTTGTCCTTGCGCCACTTAACTGATTACCCGTATGTTCATGAAGGCGGTTTTGTTAGCGGAATGTTGAGTGCAAGGTGTTAAGTCATGAATTATGTTCTTACTGGCTAGATATTGAGATTCAGTCATTAACTTGCATTATAAGCCTCGAAGGTAAGTTATTTTTATGTGAATTTTGACCAAGCACTGTGTCGTTTGCATATGAAACACGGAAGTGAAGAGTAAGTTCATGCTAGGCCAGGTACGAAAAGAAAAAAGCTTAGCCGCCATAAATAATATGCCCTGATTCGCTCACATATCAGAACACACACGCGGATCAAGCCTATCAACAGAATACAGATATAATTTATTTGCGCACAAGTGACATTTTAAGCAACTTTTGCGCTTATATCCCGACGTGTATATCTAATCGAACAGAAACGAACAGAATTTCTATCGAATTCAATCGAACTTAATCGTTTCTTAAATTCGATCGATTTCGGCAATCGAATAAATCGGGCACGCAGTTCTTCATATGAGTTCGATTATCGAACAGACAGTATATATGATGACGGGCAGTCATGTCTGAAGCCCGTCAACTCAGTACATCTAGTTATTAAAGTGGAATGGCCAGTGTCAACTATGCTCAGTGTAAGTCTCATAAATCTCTTGGTAGACCTTGAAGTTGGTACCTTTTTTGTGAAAAAGAAAAAAGGGGGGGGGGAGAGGAAACTCTGGAATAAAAATGGTATGCTTTACACCTTGAGTTCATGGAAATCTGTTGGAAGCTTTCGTGACTGTGGACGCAGTCAGCCGTCCGAGACACTTCAACAAACTGATCTATGATTTCCGCCTATAAATTATCTCCAATATGTTGAGAAAATTGGCATTGGATTACTTCAAGCCGAAAAAAGAAAACTTTGAATTTCTTTAAACTGATTTAAATAATGGAACCACATTATTTTTGGCTATCGAGGACGTCGAATGTCTAATGACTCGGACAAAAATGACTCTGCGTCTGAACAGTAAAAACAGATCCGCTAGTCACACGATCCCGATAAATATAAAACAACATGTCACTGTATATTCTAATCGCCGGTTCAAACGCCGAACTTGACATGAGCCGAACCTGATAATGAGATAACCAACATTATCGTTATAACACTGAGAAATAAACTAAAAAAAGTATTTTCAATTCATTAGAACCCCCGTAACTCGGCCCGTCTAAAGGCGGTTTTGATAGAATAGCGGGGGTTCGAGTTATCGGGTCGATTGAATATTCAATTTGCTATGTTAATAAGTATAATGACCGTTGCAGTTTAGTGATTTTCAGCACTTCAGTAGACAGTACAGTGCGGATTTAATTTATCTCATCAGGACAGCAACATGATATTGCATTCTTATGATAATACGTGATCTGTTCGTTGCACCGATTTTAAAAAATCAAATTGCTGTAGTGTTAACCCATGGTTATTAGATAAGACTGGTTATGAAAGCCGGCAAACATCGAAGATGAAAACAACGGTGCTACAGTTTATATTGGAAGCTCCCCGACTGTGCACAATCCTTTGTTTTTTTGTTCACAAATTGTGACTGAATAAATTAATGTGATGTTTCTATTGGTCAGTAAGTTCAAAATGATAGGAATGCTGTTGAACGTTGTGCACGGTCAGGTCCAAAAAAGCTATGAAAAATATACGACAAAGAAGTCTGTCGGGCTTCATAAGCATTCCACTTTCTTAGCTCGCTATGGTTAGCCAGTTTTAGTTGTTACTAAACAAGTACCGGGAATGGGGAACGGGAGACGAGAGTCTGAGACGAGTAGTCAGTGATAACCACAACAAAAATCCAAAACGGCCGATGATGATGATGATTTTGACGCGATAAGATGATAAAGGAGCGTCAAAAAGGCACTTAACACAGCTATCATTTTCTTGAACTATCTGCTGATTGCTGATGAGATGCTTAAACTGGAATGCGGAGGTGCACCGTAATTTTTAGGGAGTTGTTATAACTCCAAAAATGGAGTAAAAATTTTAGGTACAGGATAACCCCTTTTTTGGGGTTATTTTAACTCCTAATTTAACTCCGAATTTGGGGTCATTTTTACTCCTGAAAAAGAGTTCTTTTTACTCCCAGTCTTGGAGTTAAAATTACTCCGAAATGGGGTTACTTGTACTCCTTACAGGGGTTGTTTTTACTCTTTTTGGAGTTAATTTAACTCTGAAAGTGGAGTAAAACTTTTAGGTACAGGATAACTCCTTTTTTGGGGTTATTTTAACTCCTCAATATCTGGGGTCACTTTTACTCCTGAAAAAGAGTTCTTTAAACTCCTTTTTGGAGTTAAAATAACTCCACGAAAAATAACTCCACTGTAAGGAGTTAAATTAGCCCCACTAGAGGAGTTGTTATAACTCCCTGAAAATTACAGTGTGATAACTTAGGGTGCGTTTTTTTGGGAGAATCCAAAAACTGATTTGTGATCTCATGTCCTGCGGATTCTTCACTACCAAAAAACGGAAGGTCTGAAAAGGATCATTTAACATGACAACGGCAAGTCCTCCTGCTCCTCGTAGAAAAAAAAAACAAAAACAACAAACTGATCCTCACGGCGAAGACAAGAAGAAAAAGCAACATAAGCTACGATTGAATATATACGAAATATTTATATTTCCGTTTGAAACAAAAACCCCTTACTCTGGTTCAAATCAGATTTAACCGATCGTACTCAGTTGGTTTCATTCATGGGACAGTCATTGTCCGTTCGGACCGTTACAGCTGGTGTGTCGCATGGCTCCGTATTGGGTCCATTGCTATTTGTTATGTTTGTCAATGATCTACCCTTACATGTTCATGCTCAAGTCGACATATTTGCTAATGACACAACTCTTCTAGCGGTTTCCGATTTTGCTAATGTAGAAGATCTTGAGAACACTCTCTCCCAGGAGGTCTCTAAAGTCGATGAGTGGGCAACAAACAACAAACTTCCACTAATTGTTCCAAAACTAAGACGATTCTAATTGATGGTTTGTAATTTCTATGAAGGAGATATAGTTTTTGATTACTAAAAAAGTAAAGAAACTTGAGTTTGGTCCTTATAAATAGTCATTATTCACAACTGTAGATTGCAAACGTCCTTTATGCAAGGTTCTGAAGACAATTACAATCTGCACATTTTATAAACCTTTTTTGTTGTAGGAATTACAGTAATCAAGAGATTATTTTTAATTACGGTTTGGTGCAGTATCTTCTTGCTATATTAATTGGCAATCTCGAAGTCAAACTCCTTGGTTAAAACCCGGGGGGGAGCACTTGGGTATTTTTTGGGTGGGTATGTGCCGCCCTGGACTCCAAATTGGCACCCCGTTCTAAAAAAATTTCTCCTAAAATTGATACCCCGTTCTAGAATTCGCCCTAAAAATGATACCCCGTTCTAGAAATGGGCCAATTTTTTATACTCCGTTCTAAGGTGCAAAGAGTACAACAGTTTGCTTGTTAACGCATTGAACCGTATTTTTAAAAGCATTGATCTGTCTCTGAATAATTTCAAATGGCTGCTTACAAAACTGGAGCTTTCGTGCGTTCGAAATATTATACCCCGTTCTAGAAAACGCCTCTGAAATGGATACCCCGTTCTAAATCAGGAGCTTCAAAATCACGACCCCGTTGGGCGGCACATACCCGTATAGGTAATGTATGGGAGTAGCCCCCACGGGGTTAAAACCCACATATAAGAACCTGCTTGATTATGCTTGGCTAAACAGGTTCTTATATTTTTGGTGTTAAAGTGAAAAATTTCTGCAAGCCGGTTCTTAAACCACCGGGTTCTTATTAGCGGGTTTCTACTGTTCCAACAATGAACTACATATGCTTTAATTTCAAAAATATTTGACATTTTTTCTTTGAAATAAACAGTGAGTTGACGGTCAGAATTTTCAAACTCTGACATTAGTCTTGTCACCTCTATTACTTTTGCAAGATGGCTAATAAAAAATCAAAAGGCGGTCAGTCAGTAAGACACGGACTACGGACGGAGGACTACGTACACTGTCAAAGACTCTACTCAGGACTACACTCATCTAACCACTTACTAATTTTACTACTAAAATTCCAAGCAGTCTTGCAACTCCTCCTTTCTGTCATTATATCTAGGCGGGCTAAAACGTACTGAAGATGGAATTACAGCCTTTTGGTGATGAACAATTGAATTTCTTAAAGTTCGCATCCTTGGTGTTAGATGAATTCCCAAAAGCCTTACGGCAGGCGTTCAAAACCATGTGGGACAAAAAGTATGGACATCGCCCTGGTTTACAGCTTTGGGACGATTCCACCATTGTGAGAAAGATGTTTTACATTGAGGAGGCGAAAAGTGGCAAGAAGATTAAAGTTCCCGTCCACCAGTCTTACGATGAATGGGATTGTACCAGCCTTTTCCAGGCCACCATATTTGCTCGATGCTTTGCCTCAAAAGGAAGCACCCTCAAAGCTTTGTACGCAAAGCCCCTAGCTTATGGTAGTTTCCATGCCTCTGTGATAAGCTCTGGCGGAAACAATGAGGAGACATTTGCGCTTTCGATTGATCAGCTTCGTCTTCTTAGGAATTCGCTTTGTCACTCAACCAGATCTAAGATGGACAGAGCAACCTTTGACCAACGCATGAATTACGCAAAAGATGCGTTCCACGCCCTTGGTGTCTCAACAGCTTTAATCGATGCCGTTGGGAGTTTGACGGAGGCGGATTTTCCTACCAGCAAAGTTTGTCAATTGGAAACCAGTGTAAAAGAAGAGACTGGGAAATACATCAAGTTTCTTGAGGAAGTAAGCTCAGATTTGATTGAGATAAAGGCGTTGTTAAGCGCTATCAAGCGAACAGTTGGAAGTGCTGCTAATAAAGAAGACATCGCTAGGTTAGAGCAGAAGATCGCAAAGCTGCAAGAATCGCAAGATGAAGGTGACGCTAAACCGACGGCTACAGGTAGCATCTGATGTTCACTTCTTCACTGGTGATATAGGTTTGAGGTTTATGTTTTTTTCAGCTGGGTCTCTAAGGCAAGCGAAATACAATAAAACTACAATAGTGTGCTTGAAGATCGATATTGACATACGAGATTAAACTCCCCAAATCGCTCCCTATCCCAGAGTTGCTGTTTTCCAGAAATAACTGAGTGAGACGCTTTCTTTGCTATTAAACTGAGTTGTGGGTGAATTTAGATGTGCCAACTTTTTTACTATTAACGGTTTCCCTAGTCTAGACTAAAATCTTCAACCAATTGATCAGTGTCCTGGAAAATGATACCCAGCTAGACAAAAACTCTCTGATTTCTGTACCTTTTCTTAGACCAAGTTGCTTGGAAACCACACCCTTCACAGTAGGACAAACCTATGCAGCACATATATGGCAGTACCCACTCCCCTTCCGGTGGCCGAAAGGCCGGTTACTTATTGTGGTGTTTTTAGATAAGCGATTTTCCCCATTTTATGTAAAACAACTGAATGTTTCCCTACAACAGTGATAATGTGAAACGTGACCTCAGAGTTTGCTTAAATAAACAAAGCTTTTCCTAATTTTCGTTCTCGCGCGTATTGCCTGTCCAAGACATTTTTCTATTTCTTCGACAGTTTGACAGCGAGCGAAAGCCAACGCGGGGCGATATAACCCCCACACCTCCGCGCATGTGGTGAATAAATCTCCCGCGGTTTTTATTTTCATACGCGCGTTCGACGATCTCGAAAAAGAAAATAGAGGATCTGTGGACAGGCTGTCGCGCTTAGGTCCCTACGCAGTGCATGGAGCATTCTAAACTTTGACTGAGTAACTTATTTTTGCCGTGATGTGTCGTGTATTTAGAGGTTATGAAGCTGATCTGTTTCATGCATATTGGGTATTTAACTCCTGTGGTTTATGTTATTCTTAGAACAACGCACTAGCCCCTAATTGTTTAGACTGTTCACAGTAGCCTATTTTCCCGTAAGATCGTCAAGATTGAGCGCTTTGCGGAACACGGGCAGTCATCTTGATTTTAGATGTCCCTAGTCTAGCCTGGGAAAGAGTGTCAAATCTACAGATTGTCGTCCGTACCGGTAAGGCACTCGATTAGTACACTGTGAACAGTCTACTACTTGTTTCTTCATTTCGCTTAGCGGGGCAAAACTATTTTCAGTAAGGTTTTCTTTTTTGACAGCTCGTCTTCGGATATGGTTTGATTGTGAGAAAATGATAAGCCTTGGTCCACGAGTCGAGGCTACAGGGATGGAAGCCCAGTCAATGTCCCAAGAATCCGCGCGAGAATCATTGGTCTCAAAACAACCACAAACTGTGACTACATCTGCAGCAGAATCACTGGGGAAGGCTGCAGCAGTAGAGGCAGCAGCAGTACCTGGCACATCGAAAAGGCCCCGAGTTGAGGATGTTACTGGTTCATGGCAAGACAATGTTGAAAGCGGAGCTATGCCCTCATCTCAGGATGTTCTGAATTTAATTGCGTCAACGTACTTCAAGAAACTTGATCCATCAACAACGGAGGAGTTTAATGAATTTATTCAGTATATGGAACAAGTGCGTAAAGTTGTGATCGTGGATGTGAAAACCGGAAGTTTAGAAGTCATTGTACAGTGTAGCTCTCTTAAGGTCCTCGAAGAACTCTGGAAAGACTATAGTACAGGTCATCTTAATGAAATAGCGCAGAAATTCCTTGTGACAGAGAGAATTCTTAAAGCGTTTGGTCTAGCTGAAGTTAAACTGACGACGACTATCAAAGAGGAGGAATACAGAGCTTGTAGACGTCTCTTGTCGAAATCAGACAGAGGTATGTTCATAAACCCTTTTAATCGCAACGTTAATAGTGAAGGTCTATGGGGTAAAAATATTCAATATCATACAACTGTTCCCCGTAGTGGAGGAGAATAGTGGTGGATATATACCTCGACGCTTCGCGGCTCGGTATATTTCTAGCGCTGCTTACAGACCCTGAGGGGGATAGTTGTTTTAGTATTTACCAAATCAGTTGGATAAAAATGAAAAAGTAAAAACGTCACTTAGTAGGAAATTTGTTTTCAATTTACAAACATGTCGGAGATTTTTTCAAGTGCACTTTTTACGATTGTGTTGCAAATTCAGCATGAAAATAATTTTCTACCTACCAGCAAACACCGACAAACCAAAGTTCGTCGCTTTCTTGGTATTTGTTTGTACGACTGCTTCATTTATTGCTCAAATTTCGCCTACCGAAAATGTCTTAAAACGAGACGCCATCTTGGCTCCGGACGCAAAACAGTGAATAGCCAAGGATATTCCGAGTTACGGGAACCAATCAAAACGCGCGAAAATTGCTATTCACTGATTTGGTAAATAATAAAACGAACTACGATTTCAATAAAAAAATGTGTGGAAATTTAATTCAAATATTGACGAGGTTTTGATGGACAACGATACGGATAACCTAACTCGATTATGATTATGATTCTTATGTCGCTAGGGGGGACCAGCCATTACAGTCATTTGCGCATTGCACCCAGTTTTGTGGACACTAAAGAAACGTAATTGTTTAATCTGTTTTTATGAAAAACAGAGAAACGAACGAACAAAAAACAGAGCCACTGAAAATAAAACAACATAAAATTAAAGGGATACTAATCATAATCATAATCATAAACATGATGATGATGATGATGACAATGACGTTGGTGATAGTGATGGCGATGATGATGATGATTCCTTTATTTACCAATGTCTAAAACAAATGATCCAAATCAAACATAACATGGCTTAGAATCCACAGTTCGATAAGGCAACCGTTAAGTGGGACACATTAACACATCAATATAAACTTTCTTTAATTAAGCTTTTTTACAAAGCCATGGTCACATGCTTCCACAAGTTTAGCTGAACAAATCATAATTCACAGCAATAGATCTGTGTCAAGAACGAAGCACGGTTTAATAGCTCTTTGCGTCACATTACGTTAAAAACGCCATTGCCTATAGAGGGGCTTTCCTCTGGAACGCCATAGGTCGTTCAAATGGTTCTATTTTTGTTTGCACAGACATGAAATCTTTTCTGAAAAAAGTTGTTAAGTGTTGCAGTTTTAGCGATTTCAATTTCAACGTTTTAGCCCCACAAACAATTAACAACAGATATGAGAATTTTCTATATTTCTAATGTGTATTTTTGATTGAACGATTTTATTTCCTAGTATTAATAACTTTTAACATTTTATTTTGTTTGTAATTTTTGCATACGACTCCACAAGCTTGTAGCTTTGAATTAAGAAAGAAGGTTTAATTCTCGGTTTTATTACTTCGGCGGAGCTCGAAATAAAGGATTCGCGACGCTCAGGAATGTTTCAAAGTTGCATTCGGATGTCCCGAAGTTACTTCCTAATGTTCTGAAGTTGCTTGGGAATTAGTTCGAGATATCTCAGTTGACCAGCACCATTCCAAAGCGGTTCTTTGATTGGCTATCTTTGCCTCGATGAGACTGTTTCGGTACCGGACTGTACCCAACCAATCACAACACAGCATTCAATACGGCCCAAGCGGTCCGCTTCTTGCGTCACTCGAGAGAATCGAAAGGAGATGTGTACCTTGTGTCGGAGTGGTTGTTTTTTTAATATTTGTGCCTTTAATCTTGGACTTTTTTAACAAGTTGTTTCTGAGATTTGTTTTATTCACCGAAGCAAATCGGCTCAATTACAACAACAATAACAATAGTTTAGCCAAATTAAACCCTGAAAATATGAACATTATAGAGAAATAAATTATAATAATTATGATGAAAATAAATCGTAACTCATACAGATAAGAATATTAGAACATATAATTTCTTGCCTGCGTGCAGACGTCTCCTATTTCGTGCAGACGTCTCCTATTTCCTTTGTTGCACGCGGAAAAGGGACGTCTGCGTAACGCCGTCGCTAATCGTGTTCCGGCGTCCCGCTGGCAGGGTATTTGATTTCGCATAAATTATGAAATAGTATCCGCTGACAAGCGTGTGTGCGTCATAACCAAAGTCCACCAGTGTGAAAAAAATGGCGGACTTTCAGGCTGCGGTGAAGCGTGTTTGTGAAGTCTTTAACGTCGCGTCGCTTTATCCCGAGCAGGAAGAGTGCTTAAAGGCTATATGTGACGGTAAAAATGTATATGCAAGTCTTCCGACTGGATATGGGAAATCTTTGATTTTTTACGCGATTCCAATCATCGCTGATGTAATGTTTGATCGTCCTCGTGGAACAAGCAAGGTCATCATCATCTCCCCTTTGAAGACATTGATGGAAGACCAGGTGCGATATTTAAAGTCCATGAGTCTCTCGGCAGTGGCCCTTCATGATGAGCAATCTGAGGAAATTTTACAAAATGTGGAAAGTGGTGCTTTCACCTACGTTTTTTTGTCGCCGGGAAGAATGCTGAATTCCAGCAGATGAAGGAAACTCCTTTCCTCCGTCCACTATAGAACGTTCCTGGCGGCAGTCATCATCGATGAAGCTCATTGTATCAGTCAGTGGGGCCTTTCTTCGAAGGCCAATCCAACGTCCATTCCTTTTCGACAGTGGTATGGAAATTTAGGAGAGATGTACTCCCTCATTTCAAGTGATGTATCTACTGTCGTTTTGACCGCGACCGCGTCGAAGGCCACAAAGAAAGACATATTTAAAACTCTCAATTTGAGTCAGGTAACCTTTGTTATTGAGCGAAGTCCTGAAAGACCGAATATTCGTGTCGGGACGCAGTACTTGGACAAAAATCTACCTCTGTCAGCAGTATTTGAGTCTGTCGTCGAAGAGCTGAGAAATGAAAGATGTAATTTTGAAAGGACAATAATTTTTTGCCAAACCCGAAAACAGTGCGCTCTAGTTTACAGAACCTTTGTTGACTCGCTTTCTGATGATTTGTATGTAAATAGAAAACCAGATGCAAGGCAGCGAATGGTGGAAATGTTCCATGCTGGTACTCATAAACGGTGAGAGCCGACTGACTCAGTTAAGAAACATGTTTTAGATAATTTCTCCCAGTCAGTGGGTC